TAGGCACACTTTCAGAAACAACAAAACTTCTTCAAAGTTATCTCTGAAAAAAAGAGTAAGAGAACAATCAGTTTTCTTTAAAAAAAGCAAACAATCTAAAAAAGCATTTTCAGTTGTACAGTGAAAAGTTTATCCTTTGGCTACCCAGAAGCAAGCAGAGCATTTGCCCATGAAATGATTACCATGAAAAGCAAGATGAAAAGCAAGATGAAAATGAACTATTTTCTAAAATTCTCTTTTTTCCCCTAATTCAGTCCACCAAACTTTAGATAAAACTTCCAAGTGACAGTCTCCACCCCCAGTGAGACTAGAGGAGCTTGCAAATTTACATATGAAATTAAGTTTAAATTACAGAGCAAAACAGGGTGAACTAAGGTCACACCACCAGCCTTAGTTCTGAACTCTCATCCACATTAAGATACTGTCCAACCTGAAACAGAGAGGAACAAAAAGCTAAGTTACTTCAAATGCATATTAAAAATACAAGAAGTCTCTGATTTCAGTTATGGCTGAACTAATAATCCAAATTTTTGTACCTCCCTGCTTCAAATTTTAAAACTTTTTTCTACTGTGTATATTAATGAATCAAATACATCCAGGTCCCAGTAGCAAAGCCACCAGTCTCCAATAAAATAGGAGAAGCATGTGCATGTCTTCAAAAGATAAGTACATTATCAGAGCAGACTGAGGAGCTCCCTGCACTGCAGGAACTTTCCACCATCATGATCCTCACCATCCTACATGTAAATCCATTTTTTCTGCTCAATAACACCAAGCTTGAAACATACAGCAACACAAACTAGAGCAAATCTAATGAAATCCAAAGACAGAGCAGAATTTTATATCAACTTTAGTTATTCCTAATTTAAAGAAAAACAGAAGTCAATGGTATTGAACTGATATTCACATCTAGTGCACAACTACAAAGATGTCAGCAAAAAGGTGTTTTCTTAATCCTTTATACTTAGTGCTGCTGTCAAGCAATGCCTTGTACTCACTAGACCAAACTAAAGCAGGGAACCTTCTGATTCCAAAACCAGAACAATCCAAAGGGGAAGAAAGAGAAATAATATAATTTTTTTTCCCTTAGATTTTGGAAGAACATCACATTGAAGTTCCAGTGCTTATTCAAGAACCATGAAACAGTTTAGGTTGAAAGGCACGTTTAAACATCACCTAGTAACCACCTGTCTGCCACAGACAAACATCTTGCACTAGATCAGGATGCTCAAAGAGCCATCCAACCTGGCCTTGAACACTGCTAGAAATGGGGTTACACACACAACTTCTCTGGTTAACCTGTTCCAGTGCCTCACCACCCACCAAAGTAATGAATTCCTTCTTTATAACCATTTTAAATCCATCCTCTTTCCATTTAAAATTTATGTCCTTTGTCCTGCCACTACAGGCCTTTGTATAAAGTCTCTCTCCATCTTTCTCATAATCCCCCTTCTTTATACACTGAATGAAAGCCTCAATAAGGTCACCCTGGAACCTTCTCTTCTCCAGGCTGAACAACCCCAACTCTCTCAGCTACAGGAGAGGTGTTCCATCACTGATCACTTCTGAGGCCCTCCCTGGGTCTGCTCCAATAACTGCAGGTCTTTCTTGTGCTGGATGCCACAGAGCTGGATGCAGTGCTCCAGGTAAGAGTCACGAGAGAACAGAACAGACAGCGAGAATCACCTGCTTCTTTTTACAAGTTCAGGATACTTCTGGCAAAGAAAGTAGCCAAATTTTGGAGACAAAGAGACATGAAGTATGGCAAAAATTTACATATGACTCTACACCCATTCCTTGAAGTGAAAAATGGAATTACTGTTTTTCTATTTTCACAGTAGCCTTCATTAATTTTTCTAAGGTTCATAGTTAAAGAAGGAGTTGAAAAACACTACATTAAATGGTTTGGTTCAGTTAAAAAAATATGTATTTGACTTGTATCATTTATAAGAAGAGGTAAGGCAGCAACAGGAAGAGGTTCTCTCTTGTGACATCAGAGGTTCTGTGGGTAAAGAGAAAACTGAAAAAGAACTACCCACTGGGACACAGATCATTTCCTAAAGCAGAGCTCTTTCCAGAAGCTGGGATAACACAGGGAGTGTTTAAATCTGTGGTTACATTAAAGGCTACAAGTTACAGCACTACAGCAGGGCACATCAGCTCAGAGCAATTTTATTACCAAGTCATTTAGTCATGTCTGTAACAGGTCTGGACTGCAGCACTGTAGAAACATGAACAGCCAATCTGTTCCTGTTCTAGTAGTTCTTCTACTGAAAAACCTACAACTCCTACAATAAAACAGTAAGTTACTCATGTAGACAAGCTCAACATGTCTCTGTAATTTTTCCAATAATTATATTTTCTTACTGAAAATTCTCCTTTATCAAGCAAGGGAAACTCAATGGTCTCCATAACAAACAAAAAAAAAAAAGCTGTTTGAGTTTGCATGCTGAATAGATTATAATTTGTAACCAGACCTCTAAATGTTGGTTCCAGCAACCACTTTTACATGGAGATAAGCTTGAAAAATACAGTTAACTAAAACTTCCCTATTAGTGTACTCTTACCTAAAAAACATGCTAGCACCTAAGTATTCTATTTAAAATGTGATCATGCATTCCTAAAGCACATGCAGAACTTCCCAGGCCAAGTTTTCCATACTCTTCTTTCTTCCAGGTCTGTGCAGCAGGAAGACTGCACCAAGTGGCAGGCTGCTATGACTGCCTGTGCACATCCTCCTGATATCCCATCCAAGTGGGACATCTGCCCTGTTTTCCTTCTGATGCACAGAGACAGACCCTGTTGGATAGCACAGGAAGTACAACAGCAGAGTGGGTAACACACTGACCTCTCACTAGGAAATTTCTCACTTCAAGCTCATAATACAAATTTTTGATGTTGAGAGTGGTGTAAGTGCAAGTGGAACATCTTTAAAGCTGTTTAATTCACTAGAATTTTGATTAACTAAAAAAAAAAAAAAAAAAATCAAACCAGTGGCAAGAGAAAAGATTCCAGGTATTTCCAATCCACGCAACCACTGGCATCTGGGATATGACTCATCATTAAGTTAGGTCCAACTGAAATAACTGTAACTACACAAAACTAGGCACTATCTAAGAACCAAAACAGATGAAAAGCAGTACTCCGAGATGTTAACACACAAGTTGTAGGACAATACTTCTCAAGCTGAGTACCTGAGAACTTTCTCTAAGGATTCACTATTGTTTTCATAATAATACATCTAAAATCCAAGAGCTTGCACCAAGACTACAAATAAGCTAAATCAAAAAAGAGGCACCCTCAAAGCAGTATCCAAATGAGGGTGTGCATTCATTTATCTTAAATGAATTTAGGTTGTTTAATAAAGCAATAAAGCAATGTGATTTTCTCATGTCAATGGTTCGAGCAACAGGCCCAAGTTTTAATGCCAGTTCAAACCAGCGTACAAAGGAGCAAGGTGGAAGAAGAATCATTTTGCTAAACCACCACCACTTCTTTGTCAGTCAAACACAAATGCTTAATTTAGGTGACCAACCTAAGACTATTTTCTATGTGATCCCTGGATAAGCAATGGAAAGTTTCCTCCAGAGATGTTGTTAATGCAAGGCACTGAACTGGGATTCTGAGTCAGGTGCACAAATTAATCCTGAGATCAAATGTGCTCACCATGCCTCCATGGGGCAAGTGTGTCCAGTGCTTAAACTGCACCTCAAACGTGGTCATGAGGTGACTTTGAAATGCAACCGATCTTAAGAACCAAAGCAACTAAGACAGACACAAAATAAGAAGTTGAACAACAAATACTGAAAACAAGAAGCTACAGAGCAGATGTAAAAGACTTCTTTCTAGTCAAGTCACCATCAGAAACACAAAGTGCTGATGCCACACAGACACGTAATCATAAACATACAACATTACAGCAGTTCACTGTGAGTAAAAACTACGTACTGTGGTACCTGCATAGTATCTTGCTACTTCCTCAAAGAGGAGGCATCCCAAATACACTCCATTTCAACTAAGCACTAATTCACAATATGGTATTACAAACATTATTTAGCGTAATTCAAGCTATGTAGCCACCAGGTATGTCTGGCCCCATGGACTATTCTTCCCAGTCCTGCCAAAAGGATTTCCAATAGAGAATTTTTTCTCCCTGAGTAGCATCAGGGCATGTGTCTGTATTAGGGCTGAGGTACGTGATTATATATGAACACATACACCAAGGGAAAAGTTGCTGAAGAAGTCAGTAAAAAAATCAAAACAAAATAAGGTAAAACAAGTAATTAATCTCTGCCCTTTCAGTGTTTAACTCTATGCCAGCTGAAACCAGAACACAAGTATTCAGATAACCTAGGGTAAAATTCCTTTCTCCTCAAAGGCATAGCTAGAGGATTTAAATACGAAGTGGGGGAGACAGCATATGAATCTACAGAGGAAAGGAGTATGGGCAAAGAAAAAAAAAGAGCATTAGGTGAGACCACAAAGAAGGTTTTAATGACAGGAAAGTAAGATCAGAAGGGAAAAAAAACATGAAGAAGGAAATGGTTACTGGGCAGAAGAAAACTGGAAGGGGAAAGGTAACAGAGGAGTAATGGCAGTGTTGGAATATAACTTCAAAAGGAAACAAGAAGGATGAGGAAAGGATTCCAATCAGGACACACTTAGCTTGCATTGGCAAAGTTACTGGGAAACAAATGAGCTGGTTATTTGAAACAAAAAAATGCAAGACTAGTCATCTGGATGGAGACAATAAGTACACAGACAAACAAAAGGTTACGGGGGCACCTTCTCTGCTAAGGCCACAACAGTAGGTGGCAACAAGGGGAAGCCTGGCGCACACTCCTTGAGAGCAAGAGAAACCTAGAGAAGTTGACCGAGATGAACTATGGCAAAAATCCCCCAGCCACAACGGTACTGAGAGCACTAGGGAATGTCTCTAGGTACAACCAAAAAGCTCCTAGACAGACCTGAGTATCACTAGGGCTCTGGGGATTGCTGGCATGAACAGGGTGAAACGAAGCAGCACAGGAAAGGACAGGCAGGACAGAGAGCAGGTGAACTCCCCAGAACAGTGCCCGGTGAGGTTACGGACAAAAGCTCACAGGGAAAAAAGAGGGCAGAGGCGTGGGAGGAGCAGGGCCTGGGATGGCTGGGGTGGGCAGTCCCGGGGCCGAGGGGGGCACAGCGAAGGCTGCGGGAGGACGGGCCCGAGGTCTGAGAGCCACCGGGGCGGGACGGAAAGGCTGGGGCAGCCACCGAGGCGCCCTGGCCATGCGGGGGCCGCGGTCACGGGGAAAGGACGGGGACGAAGGGAGGGAGCGGGCAACCCCCCGGCGGCCGGGCAGATCCTGCTGGGCCGGGCAGCCAGCGGGGCGCTCCCGCACCCCGACGGGGGCGAAGCGTTCCGAGTGCGCAGCTCGCGGCCTCCCCGCTCCGGCCCGGCCCGCGGCTCCGGGGCCGGATCCACGAGCGGGCCGGGCAGCCACCACCGCCGCCCCCGCGCTCCGGGGCCGGTAGCGCGCCCGGGAGAAGAAAGGCAGGCGGGCGGGCGGGCCAGGCCCGACCGCCCCTTCCCCCGTTCCCCGCGGCGTGACTCAGTGCCGGGCCCCGCGCCGCCGCCTTCGCGTCCTGCCGGGCCGGGCCGGGCCGGGCCAGGCCTCGCTGCGACACAACGCCGCGGCCTCCCTGCACTCACCAGCATCGCGCGTCCCGCAGAGTCAGGGCCACGTCCGCCCGCCCCTTCCGCCTCCGCCGGGCCCGGATCCGCCGCCGCCGCCTCCCCCCGGCGCGGCCCGGGGATCGTGGAGGCGCCGCCCCTCGCAGCCGCCCCGCCCCGGCTCACGGCGGGCGGGGAACCGGGGCTGCGGCTGCCCGCGCCGGCAGGGCCCGGTGGCGCTGGGCCTTGGCCTCGGCCTCCGGCGGAGCCTGCCCGCCCGCATGAGCCGCTCGGCGGGAGAGGCCGGCCGGCTGGCCGCCATCTCCTTGGCTGCCAGGCCCTTACCTGCCCTGCCCTGCCCTGCCCGAGGGGTCGTTGCTCCCACCCCTCCCCAAGTTAGTCCAGTGCCAGAAGAGCTGAAGGATGAGCTGAAAGACTTGGGAGTGATGGTTGATGAAAAACTCAACGTGAGCCGGCAGGTGTGCGCTCGCAAGCCAAAAAGCCAATCGAACCTGGGCTGCATCAAAAGCAGAAATGGGCCGGCAGGGCGAGGGAGGTAATTCTGGCCCTCTACTCTTTGATGAGACCCCAGCTGGAGTGCGGTGTACAGTTGTGGTGTCCCCAGCATCAAGGGGGACAACAAGGACATGCAGCTGTTGGAGCAAGCTTAAAGGAAGCCTCGAAGCTGATAAAAGGACTGGAACACCTGCCCCATTAACCCAGGCTGAGAAAGCTGTGGCTGTTCAGCCTGGAGAAGAGAAGGTTGTGTGGAGACCTCAGCAACCTTCCAGTTTCTGAAGAATCCTAGAGGGAAGCTGGAGAGGGGCTCTTTGTCAGGAACTGTAGTAATAAGACACAGGGTAATAGGTACAAATTCAACAAAGGGAACTTTAAGTTAGATATTTGGAAGAAGTTCTTTACTGTGAGCGTGGTGAGGTGCTGGAACAAGGGAATAAGTTGTCCAGGGAGGTTGTGGATGCCCCAACCCTGGCAGTGTTTAAGGCCAGGGAAGTGTCCCTACACATGGCAGGGGGTGTTGAGACTAGATGATCTTTAAGGTCCATTCCAAACCCTTAACATTCTATGATTCCATGTGTTTCAGAATGACATGATAAGACTTTCCCCCATCGACAGCTAAGCAACTGTTTCTGCTAGTGTATTTATGAGAAACACAGGTTTCTAAAGTGTTCTGGGCACAGTGAATGGCAGCACACCAAGTCTGGGAGCCCAAATGGACGGTACAGTTGTGAGTTAACAGTATGTCTTTGTCAAGCGAGTGTTAAACCAAACTGTGAAGCTCCTCTGAGTTATTCACATCAGGAATCATTGCCTCTAAGTGCATGAACGTTGCCTTGAAAACTTTGATTAAAGTGTGGCTTTTGTAAGAGCATAGAAATCTTTCTGTGAGTTTCAGAGTACTAAGAAGACAACTTGGAAACAACACTGCAGAGAGGAGAAGAGGGTAGGAATTGAAAAAAGGAAATTACATAGTTAATCTATGAGCTGCTTGGAAGATGTGTGACGGTATTTGGTCTGACTTTTTGAGGGATATGGAGTTACATGGACCTGTTTGTAGTCTGCAAACAAGTTAAAGCAGAGCTACCTACTAGATAACTTAAATCTATGATAATAAAACATAAACCTCCTAGCAAATTTGCATCACTTATATGTGGATTGGAAATGGGGCAGTTATTTTTTCTTTCTAAGACTATGAAACTGATGATACAAAATCATACCAAAATTAGGACAGGTTTCAGAAAAGTAGTATTTTGGAATCAATTCTGTCTTGTTTATTCCTGAAGACTGGAATTATATTGCTGGAGCAGTGTTGTGAAGAAAAAAACCAAAGTTTGTAAAAGATGTTATAAAAAGTACTTATCCTGTATACTAGTATCAACAGTTAAACCTATGAAATTCAGCAGCTTCTTGGGAAAGGAAGGAGAAATGGGGAAACAATAGGAAGAAACAGAAGATTTCTTTTCTTTGCAAAATGCTTCACTTGCATTCTGGTTCTACCTGCTGTTCGCCTTTTCTGAAAATTGGCCTTCTCAAAGCTAATGCTCCTTAGTCATGTTGGTGCTGGAAAAATTATTTCCCTGTATAATAATGCCTTCCCATGGCCCAGCCTACTGAAGTGGACACAAGCAAAGTCAGTGACAAAGCTCTTCCAATGAGACAGTGCTGACTAAGGAGCACTGTCTGAGGAACTGGTTTAATGTGTAGCAGGGACACTGTCTCAGTCAGCTGGGTGGCATCATGACGCTTACATTTTGCTTATGTAGGTGTACTTTGCAAATACCATTCCTGGGCATGACTAAATTTCTGGTTTGCTGACATACATGAGTTGTAGTAGAGGACAGTTTGTGTGAGTTGGCATCAGCGTGGCTAGTTCTGTGTGGTGTGTTCAACACTGGGACAGTGAGGGCAAACAGAATAGTCTGTGGGGGACAGGAACCAAATCCAAAGGAGGGTGGTCTGATCATGAAAAATAAGAACTGATTTTTCAGTCTTGGAAAGCTACGTTTTGGCACTGTATTTTACAGCAATTGTCTTTGCAAGAGGTAAAGGCATCATTGTTTCAAAGGCTAAAACAAGGGGACACTAGAGCTATAGATAGCAAGAAAACTGAAAGAGAAATGACCGGAAGGGAACAAACTAAGGGGAGAAGGAAGACCTGAATTGGCACCATCTTGCACTAAACTGTATTTTTTTTTTTAGCTTTTGTGATTAACTGCAGTACAAGCCTGCGATTGACAGTTTGGAGTATCAAAATTTGTTTATCTTTTTTCCCAGGGCTGCATTATGATTTGTGCTCACTTTATAGAGGCAAGGCACAGTTCTCTGATTTTATTCATGGTAGTGGTAGCTGAGTTGACGCTCTGTAAAGGTAGGCCATCAAAAAAGCTTCACTAGACAATTTGGACATGATGCATAACATGGCTCCTTCATACATCCATTGAAAGGATTCCAACAGCGGGGTAAGTGATCACAGAGAGAAAAGGGAGCTGAATGCAAGGAATTGAATGCCAAAATACCTGTTACCAAATTACTCATAGCATAATGGCTCATGCATTTTAAATTGTCCAATGGAATTTATGTACTTTTCGTGAAAGGAGAGAAGTTTCCCCTAGAGACTGAGGCAGCCAGAATTTCAAAGAAAGACTTCATGAGAGAAATTCAGTCTTTTTTTTAACTAAAATGAATTTGCAGTGCTGCTGAGAGGGGCCTGTTTTCAAAAGAACTTGCAGGTCTCACACTTGTTGCATCAGCAGTGAATCAGCATACACTAAGCAAGAAAATTATCCTGACAATGTTTGCTGTCAGTTTAAGTAGGTAGCTCCCTCAGCAAAGAGGAAAAGCCTGAGTCATTCAAAGACACAGAGTTGCAGCAGCTGCTAGTTTATTATTACTGTCAGGAGTCTGAGCTGATTTGGAGGGATACTTTCCCTGCTATCATGTGCAGTGATGGTCTGAAAACAGTAATTAATTATATCACCCCCTCCATGCAGCCAGGAGGACAGGCTTGGTATAGGGACGGTAGATGACAACCAGATTTGGTAAAGGTTTCCTGGGTGTATTGAACATCTCTTGCTTTTTCTGGCAGATTTGTTTTCCTTGGTGTTTTGGTAAAGAATGTTTGGCTAAGCTCCTAAGTGGTAGTTCTCCATTTAAATGCTTAATTCCAGATTTTGAGTTGAGCCCAGTGTGCTCCCCTAGCTCTGAGAGCCTCTGTTTTTGAGCTAGTGAGAGGCTGCAGGCATGTTTTTCCTCTAACTGTTTCTTGAAAGGGTTGCAAACTAAGATACAGGAAATAAAAAGCAACATGTTTGGGAAAGGGATATATAGTTCTGTACAGTATGTGAGCACACTACCAATTTCTTCAGCTTTTTTGTTGAGTAGAAAATTTGAGTTTCAGGATTTTCCATGATTGTAAATCAGTCTTGGGCTCAGTCTGTCATGCACATTTGTATAAAGTAACTGAGAAGAGATATCTTCTGTGCTTCCAAATTCAAAGGTACCCAAAAGAATCTGTGAATGACAGATGATATTCCATTGCTCTGCTGCTTCTTGTGCTGTGAACCTTTGTGGGAAGGTGGAAAACATTTTGCAGAGATCAAATTGTTCTTCACAAAGGCCAGTTCCTGCATATGTCAGACAGGTATTGCCAGGCTCCTGTATGGAATAACAAGGCAGCCTAGGAGGGTTCACAAACATGGCAACCTTTGGTTAATCCGCTCCTTTTATAAGCACAGGTCAATGTTTTTGTTGTCAAGCACTCTGGTTGTATCACCAGCAGGAACAATACAATGTGTGTACAAATGTGTGTATAGAGGGCACAGGACCAGCTCTCCTCAAGCCTTCTGTCTTTTTTCTCTTCTCTGACAGGTTATCTGTCACCTGGATGATTGATTTTTTTAGCAGCTTACAGCAATCTGAATTCCAGCATTAGAGCAGAGAAGAGGAACAGAGGAAAGAAAAGTTGAGTTAGAAGGGAGTTACAACCATATTTTGCTCCCATGAGCACTTTGGCCTAATCACTTCCAACAGTTCTGACCTCAAATTGGGATGTGGAGATATTACGCACAATAGGATCACAAGAAGTGAAGCATCATTGCCCATCCAGAGCAAAGAATATTAATGTCTCTTTAGGCAGAAGGTGAGCAGATAGTCACCTTGTTCTCAACTTTAGGATATTTAAATTCCAAAATGGAGAGTGTTTGTTCATACATCTGAAGGCACACACGTGCCCTGGGAATTCATAATAAAAACAAGATGGTGGTAGTTTTTTTTGTTTGGTTGGTTGGGTTGTTGTTGTTTTGTTTTGTTTTTTTCTTTGCAGTAATTTCTAGACTACAAGCTTTCAATCAAAAATGGTCTATTAATGCCTCTGCTGTCTGCTGTGGCAAATAATGCACTGATTCACTGCCTTTTCTTTTTCCATCCTGTCCTTCATTGGGCTGAAGATTTCTCTTGGGCCTGAGATCCAGGACTTGGCATTGGTTTAACTCCTTAAAGCTCTTTCTTTGTAGGAGTTTTTACAGACTGAAAGACAACCTTGGTTATGCTTCTCTTTTTTTCTTTTTTAAATTTTGAGTAGCAGCTAATCTGCTGCTAATGTAGCAGAACTCTGTTTCATTGATCTTTAGTAAAGCTAATACTCCTTTTGTTTGTTTTCTGTAGTTATTTGATATTTTGTGATGATGAACATGCAGTTGTCCACAGATACAGCATGTGTAATGAAGGACATTGATGTTCTGTATGAACATTTTTCATAAAGGAACACTGCTCTTTGGGCTTAACTTGTTTCTCACTATATTTTTACCTGAGGGAGGGAGAACAAGGAAGAGCAATGTCACAGAAGCAAGCCACAACTCAGCTTTTCACACTCAGCAAATTCAA